CGACACCCCCCCCCCTCCTTCGAATTGTCAACCAAAACGCGGAATCGTCGTAAGTCGGGAATAATTTCGTATGCGAGAAACTTTTTAATGAAAAAGTTTTTGTTTGTTCATTATCTACCCCTCTCTCTCACTCCGCCTCTCTCTCTCTCCCTCTCTCAGTCTCCTTCCTATTCCATCGGCGCTTTTATTTCGTAATCGCTCGCAAATATGCTTTCGGAACGCGGGCTGCGGCAGATTTACCGCGCGTGCAGCCGCTGCTGGAACGCTGGAGTAAAAATGAAAAATGGACGAATTAAAAAATGGTGGAAATTACATTCTAATTGTTTTTCCTCGCTTTTCCTCCCTCCCGAAGTTTTCGCCGAGAGAAAGTGACGAATTAAGAAACTTGTTTAAGGCGAATGTTTCGCGAAATTAAAAATGGTAATAGCGTCTCTTTCTCGAGTGTCATGCTGTGCGGTTGCAGTGTTTCGGAGAAAAGTACTTTGAAAGAAAAGCCGCGAATATCTCTCTGAAATAATGAGGTAGCCGCCTCGACAGACAGATTTTAACCATGCGGCACCCAAGCACCTTTGTAATCTTCGGAGCACGCCTATGGGCATTGAGACCACCTCGTGTATGTTAATACAACTGTTGTGACAGGAATATTTAAATAATCATATAACTGATATTCCACGTTAATTCAAATTGGATATTTTCGTCGATCATCGAGCGAAAAAATGAGTTGTTTCTCATCAAAGTGACTCAAAACTTGCGATAAGCACATCAAGAAAATCTGACACTTGCTCCTAATGTAACACTCTGCCCGCAAAAATTGCGCACTTTTAAGGCTCCAGCTGCACAAATTATCTGAAGCGGAGACATAATTTGATTCTTATAAGTCATCCCAGTCTCGGAACTCTTGAAGCTAAAATGGCCGCTGTCGAAAAGTGACACAGTCCGTCTTAAAAAAAACTGCAATACTGCCTCTTTATTAGACTCAATTTGAAAATCAGGGAAGAATAAATGTGGGATATACATATGGCACTAGTTAGGTTTTAAAAAAGAAAAAAGAAACAAACTGACATTTTCAATTAAAATCGTGATATTTTCAGTTACGTGCGGGGGTCTTGGGTGACTCCACTGTTTCAAATTATTTGTTTGTCTGGCATAGTTTACTATTCGAAATGAGGAACTAAAATAAATTGCGCAAATTTTTATCGTAGAATTTGAAGTTCATATGTAGTAAATTTAAGACTGTATTGATTTGATCATTGTAATTCTGGTCGTTAGCTATTTGCATAAGAGGCAAATCTCTCCTGTGCCGTGGCAGAAGTTTGTAACAGACCCATTATCGCCACGTATATTTGGTGTAAGTAGACGATTGCGCCATAGTTGTTCAATTTGTATTCCGTATTTTACAAAGCTGCTCGGAGCAACGAAAATAAAGCAAAGTTAAGTCACTGGGCAAGCTAGTGTTGGAAAAAAATGGATCCTATCAAGAAATTGTGTTCATCCACAACGACACGAGCAACAGTCTCCGTGTTCAAGTCACCCGCGATAATCATTTGAAAGAAAGAAAACTATCTTGATGTAATGCACCATGTTCCAGC